AAACAGTAGGCAGCGAGAAGAGGGGGATACACTGGACGACGGAAAAGAACCTAGAAGACTTGGATTTCGCCGATGACTTGTGCCTAATGTCACATAAACTTGAAGATCTGCAGGCAAAAACTAACAAGTTGACAGAAGAGGCAGCTAAGACGGGACTTCAGGTGAATATAGAGAAGACAGAAGTGATGAAGATACCGCACCACCACCATCAACAACAACAACAAACTCCAATCACCGTCAACGGGAGAAACTTGAAGGAAGTAACCTCCTTCACTTATCTAGGAAGCACTGTTTCAACTACAGGCGGGACGGACGACGACGTCAAAGTCAGAATCGGAAAAGCAAGACAGGCGTTCATTAGCCTGAAACCAGTGTGGAGATCTTCTGCACTCAGCATGCGGAACAAGATACGGATTTTCAACACCAACGTCAAGTCAGTGCTCTTGTATGGCTCAGAGACTTGGCGCGCCACGAAAGGTATTTCCAATAAACTACAGACATTCATCAACAACTGCTTACGCTCGTTGCTGAAGATCAGATGGCCAGAAAAAATAAGCAACAAGGAACTCTGGGAACGAACCAACCAAGAACCTATCACCCAACAAATATGCAGGAGGAAGTGGAGATGGATTGGGCATGCACTGAGAAGGTCGACTGAGGACATCACGCGTCAGGCCCTCGAGTGGAATCCCCATGGGAAGCGACGAGTTGGACGTCCGAGGGTGACATGGAGGAGGTCATGCGAGGAGGAAATGAGAGCTTCTGGGCTGTCGTGGAACCAGGTTCAAAAGATCTCAGAGAACAGAGGTCACTGGAGGCGTGCTACTGAAGCCCTATGTTCCACTCGGAGCCCAAGGGACTAATAATAATAATAATAATATTTGAAAAGGGAAAAACCCGGCATCAGGCTGCAAATGCAGGACAGAAAACGCCCCCTTTTATGAAGGTCTGTTGTATGACCACGATTCAGGAGATGGCAGGTACCGATGGTTTGTTTGCTAGTCCCCTTAGGCTTAGGCTTTTGGTTAAACCAGAATGAACTAAAGTGATACCAGGCCCGTGTCCAACAATGCATCTGCACATTCATGTGGTTTCGGATCTTTTACTTTTTCAGTTTAAACCTCAGGGTACGCTGTCTGAGCCATCACCCCGTAAGACAAACGATTCGCCCTTACGGAACTTACGCTACTGTCGGGGTCCGTGGGTAGTGGATGTTTCCGCATATCAGTGCTGTCACCATCTCCTCTGCTGAAGTGGCAGTTTATTTTGATGTTTCTTTGTAATGGCCGGTAAACTTTGTGATAGAATTCTGCCCTCTTTATTTTTCGCAAGCCTGCTACTCATCACTGACATTTTTAACGGTCGACAACTTTCAGTGTGCTTTCCCGAGTCGACCTATTTAACTTGACCACCAGAAAGCTGACAATAAATGCATTGGGTAAAGGCCATAATCGGCCAACTGCGAACATGGCCACTTGATTTTATTTGGTTTGCACACATTATATGTACTATATATACTAGGGGACACAACCGTTACTTCGGTGCACAAAAGGGCACCAGAAAAGTGAAAACTTCGAAACCAGAGTGTATCAATTAGCTGTCCACGGGAAAATGTTGAGGTGCTCCGCTTCAGATAGCCAGATGGCCTCACGATATGTAAATTTCGGGGATGTGAAGCCGAGATTCTCATCAGTAACCGGCCCACAGAAGATAAGTGTGAAGTCGTTTGCCGAAAAATCCTTTAGGCCCCACCAATTGTAAGTGAGAAAACACCTGAAAGGGAAGTAGCGTGTTTACTGAAATCATTGCACATTCGTGCGGGATAGAAAGTGCCATAGTACAGTTTGTACTGATAAATTGCAGCTAAATTGCTTTTCGAAATGTTCGTTAGTCAGTTCTAAGGCAGTTTGCCCTTTTGTTTCAAGAAGATGAACGGTGCACAGGGTGGCGGACTTAAGAAATAGACGTTTGAAACCTTGTAATATCCATTCAAAATTATGCATCAAAATGAAAGTTTTCCTTCATGCTGCCTAAACGATCGTATTACGACGTGGATCATGGTTGACGCAAATAAATACGTAGTAGGAAAACAATGACGTCAACGCTCATGCAAAATGGATCACGTGTGAAACCATCAGTTAGACACTTTACATAAAATTCTTTAAGGATAAAATAAGAGTGTCAGTGTCATTTCTGGCAGCAAATAACAAATGTTCAGAAGACCTCTTAAGGGAAAACCTTATCCACGTGCATCGGTTGATACACTGGCCGCAAAATCCCCGTGACCGCAGCTGGTCACTCGCTTGTTAAACCCCTCTCATGGTTTCGGTTAGAGACCACCGCAGGAATAAAGACGTGCCTACACATTAAGATACACTGCTACTCTGAGTGATATCTCTGCATTTCAGCTGTTCATGATGAATGAGATCATCCCAATTGCACTAAATGTGGACACATCTCATACATTCTTCACGCCACTGGATCTTTCCCGTCCCAAGAGGCGTGTTATATAGGCTCTTAGAATTGAACCATAAGGAAGAAATGACTAAAAAAGCAATAAATTTCCCAGGCGAGCTTATTATTTTAGATCGCAGAGTCACAGCATATGACTTCCAGAAGGGTTTAATGCATAGAAGTTAACTGGTGCACACCGAATTACTTTACATCCACCTGGTGGAAGCAGCACTGGGTGGAGCTTGATCTAATGCTTCTCTTCCGACTAGACGTGCAAGCGGATGTGATTAATTGATATTTAACAATAATATTGATATGTTTCATGCAAAATAAGTTACGTGAATACAAACCAGTTTACAGGCCAACTGAAGCAATGTGTTTTATGCATGCCTCCTTGAATTGTTGAAGCACATAGCGTCTGTGGTTTACGGATCACCAGAGCGCTCGGGAGTTGCCTAATCGTGATAGGGAAATGCAACTATACAGCCTTTCCAGGTTTCGAGTTTTTAAAACATGACAATTTGTGTGGAAACCAATCTGAAATGACATACGTACATGTTTATGTTGCCATCGATTTTTCGAAACGGCTACAACCAAAAAACCAGGTGCTTTTCCAGTATAAGCTCGCTAACCGGTTGGACCTTAGGTATCTTCGGCCTCTATCTAACGCCCAAAACAGTCGTATTCCTCTACTATCACTGCTTTTTTGCTGAGTAAATCTTTCTGAGCGTTAGCTATTAGTCCAAGCCCAACATTGTTGGTGACGTGAGGCTAAGGGGAGGATTCAGAGATGAAAAGAAGGTACTAATCTTATGGGGGTGATTTAGTCAGACTTCTACACTTCGGTCGACCTACCTTCAATTCTTTAAAATGTAAGGAGATATATACTCGACTTAACACGTGTTACGCATTCAAGCTAAAGTGCACGTAGCTAGAAGCATTTTTTGTTGGAGAATGTTTATTAAAATTCGGCTGTCCACGATCTCGCCTCCAATTCTAAATGTGACGAGAATGCATTGCATGCAAATCCGGTATTTGTGGCCCGTGGCGAGGCTTTGAACACTTTGGACACGGGTGTTCTATCAAGTTATTAACATTTTCAGACGGCCCCACCTAGAAGTTGGGGCTGTTGCGTTTTTTTTTAAGCTTAGAAAGAAAAGAGCCATTCAGAAATATCCGAAAACGCCACACCTAACGCCGTGGTGAACTTGGGTTCAAGCCATACAATTAATGTTTGATAGCTTCGTAACTATCTCCCTTGGCGTGCAGGTAAACGAGAAGCGACCTAATAATGGCGCATAACACTCGGCATGTCATGACACACGCTTCATCATTTGCTTACCCTCGTTTCCGGAAGGAGTCTTAGAAGAAACACCCGGGATTCAAGGTATGCCCACAGTAGGACAGAAATCCAGTGTGATCCTTTCGCTCCAAGGCTTGACAATCCTTGGAATGCTCCCCCAGTTAAATTTGTTCGGGCCACACCAGTCTTCACAACGCAAGTGTGATGTATGCATGAGGTTACAAGATGAGCCTGAAAGCCAAGTTGCCAGTGTCTTCATACGTCAGTTCCCAGGCACTGATGATATACTAATTCTAGGTGCGGAAGCTAGTCATACCAAGGCTTTCTCTACTCCGTCAACAGCCGCTCAAAACTACCTGAAGTTTAGTTTGTGATACAGCGGGCAAAGTTTGGCCTTGAGAAATGAACTGTACAAAATGTCAGAGGTACTCTGTGAGTTCGTGATCCTGCTTATTCTCTATTTTCTCTCGTCAAGCTTCACACGTCCCCACAAACTATTTGGTATTTTCGGTCGCTTAACACCTTTCCTTTCGACCATTTGTTCTCGTTCCATAGCCACATCACCACTACGTGTCATATCACTGTACCCTCTGCGCTCAAACGCACTGCCAATCTTCCAATGAATTTCTGCAAGCTATAGCTGCTTGAAGATGCTGAGACCATAAGACAAAATTTACCATTCGGGGTCTGGAACGGGTAGAGAAGTATTTATTTCCATGTTTGCAGTTCCGAATGTACAGTAAGATCATGCTTGTAGAACTGGTATGCATTTCATGCACATTATGTCATATGTAGCAAAACTGTGTGGCGCTATCGTTAAAACATTGGTACATGCAGTCTGCCACAAGAATGTGATAAGTACCTCTGACTTTCTCAGCCTATCAGACCACTTTCACATAAGCTTCTTATATTATTCCGAGTCTTTACATCCCACTGACATATGACTTTAATATATATTTTCTCATTTTTCCACTGTCCACTAAGCAAGATCAGGTTCCTTCGTTACTTCCACAAAGAAGTAACTTTCTGGAGCGCTTTGCTTTCACTGATTGAAAAAAGTCCATATGAGGCATCCGTAGATAAGAACAAAGGTGGTACAACCTTAGGATGTTTAATTAGAGACATTGTTTATCGGACGATAGCAGCAGCAAACAAAATTTCAACCGCGTAACTCAAATGTTCATGGAGTTTCTGTGGTGCTGTCACCACGTTTATGTACGTAGAATCGAAGTCTATGAACTCTGATTTTACACCTGATGAATATACGTTATGACTGCTTACAAAAGTCTCTATCCAATAAGAATAAAACATCTGATATCACTGCAGTAAAGCGGATTATCTTTCTGATAAACGGACACAGCTCTTTTCAAGGAAAGCTAATTTATGTGGATACAAGATTATATTCAGACTTTCAAAGCCTTATAGAGTTTTTAAATTTTAAACTCTCGAACTTCGTCCCTGAAGGTCAGACTATTCGGAGGATTTTTACTCCAAGGGGAAGACACTGCATACATTCTACATCCGAACTTACAAATGGTGGTTCTTATGTATGTGCAGAAAATGAGCCTTTTAGAAAAATTGGTTATCAGAACTTTGTGCGACAGGAGTGTTTGAAAGGGGGTAAGCTTCTTGTGTTCAATAAATCACTACAGCATAGTGTTCGTTTGTGTGTAGACATCTTTTGAATATATTGGTATTTTCACACATAGCTATTGCAGCTGAATGTAATTTCTGTTTCCAAAGACTGAAATATTTCGATGTATGTTATTTTTGGGCACACTTTTTAAGTATGCTTAGGTGATTTGACAAACAATATTTATCAAAGAAAATGCTGAAAGTTTCTTTACATGCATAATGTAAGTGACAATAATTAGAACTCACGTATACTTCTGAAATATGTCCACACATGGTACTCTGCTTTGACCACCGGACGTCAGATTATCTACGGAAGCAAGCAATGGGCAGCGATCTGGTATGAACTCCGAATAATGGTAACTTTACAGCGAACGATAGAGATAATTGAAATTTAGAATAAAAGAAGGGTACTCTTTACCTAGTACTCGACATACTTAATGGTATTTATTCTTTGCGAGATGTTTTGTGTAAAATCGCTCAGAAGAAGAATGGATTAGGACAACTTAGAAAAAAACGTAGAGTTCTTTTTTACCAAAATGTCAAGTGAAGACAGTTAGGCATACGTATTGAGCATAACATTTCTTTTCTTGTTATTTTACGTTTAATAGCTCCCAAATTTTCCAAACAAGTTCTCGAATAAATTTGATGACTTAATTTTATGTATGGGAAAAGTTTGTTTTGCCTTAACAATTTGAGGTAAATTCTGTGTAATTAGTCTGTCTTAGAAGAGTTATCACGTCACATTCCTTATTCATATGGTTACGTTTATCACGGTAAAGGGGTTTGAGTAATTACCCCTATAAATAATATTTAAACTAAAGCTTGTTAGGTGTCTGATGTAATATCAACTGTCCGTGTCCAACGCTTAACTTCTTTTTGATGTCTTATTTTAGAGATTTCGAGACATAAAATTTAAATACTTATTTGCCAGTACAGTGACAGTGGTTAGTACTGAGTATACTGCCGTACCTTATAATATGCTACTTGAGCTGAGTTCAACTATATTGAGCCTGGTGTACAGTACATATGTGAGATGATGAGCAGTTTTTCCTAAGTGGCTATCATTATCATGATACTACCAGTATCGAGGTTCATAAAGACCTTTCTTTACTTTTTAACTGTCACTTATTGAAGTCACCTAAAAAATGTAGAATAGTGTAAAAAATGAGGTATTATTACGTGAGGCGAAAGTATCTGAAAGGACGTGAGTCACTGGATTAAGTCAGAAAACTGCACCACCTAGGATTTTTGAGGCTTATGTTATATGTGTCATGTATCAATAATGCACTTGTAGTGGTGATGATAAGCAAAATGCAGCTAGTCTAATGCTTGATAATAACTCAGAGCACCAAAAAATGCTACTTGAGTCCTTTAGAGGACTTTCGTCTTCATTGTTGTGGCTATTGAGGTGTTAACGATTGATAGTATAAGACTGTAGGCAAAAATACCTTATGTTGAAGTACCATAGATGATGCAATTTAGTAACCACTAAGGAAAGAATGGCATTTTTATTTCCAGTCTTTATGTTTGATAACTACCTGTATCTGTTTTCTTGTTGACTTCATACGGTTTTACTTTGTTGATTATGTTTACGTAATCTTATGAAGTATTGCAACTTAAACCGATTCCCTTCTGTGCAGTCTTCTGCATTATGCTATTTTTCTGCTTACCCGATTTCACCGTAATTAGTTAATTAGATGGGGTCGAACGTAAAGGAGTGATACGAAAGACTTAGAGCTCGACATGAAGAGGGTTTTTTCTTGATATTTGTTGTGAACACTTTATCATTGAGTTTGGTGAGATCCTTAGCGATAAATTTATAAAGATCTGAATAATATTCAAATGAAACACAAATGTTTAGGTAGTATTTGTGCTAGCCTAACAAGTTGTTAACTTGTAAGTTGGGGAAGAGATTTATAACTACACCCTGACCTACATGATCTTATATTTTACTCTATCACACTATGGGAACATCTTTGCTAGAGTGAAATAAACCACATGTTACTGTCACGTTGAGCTTTGATTTTGATTTACCTGGTCAGTTTGCAATTAGCTGATTGATGGCTGTTTTTTTCCTAGGTAGTTTGTGGCTTGGATCTATGTCAATGTGTTCATCCTATAACTTTTTGTTGGAATATCATGCTTCCGGACATTCGCTTACAGCTTTAAAATCTACTTTCTAGAAGATTTATATATCCTTTCAATCCAATTCGTGATCGTAGCCGCTGATATGCATTAAAACTGAGGAGGCCGTGTCATATAATTTAACTGATAGTCGATTCTATTGAATTTATTGGTCGATATGATTGTTAGACTGACAAATGTATTGCTGAGAACAATCTCAACAGCTAATTTTGTGGGTGGTATTTTTCATTTGACAACGCATCTCCTGGTGTACAAAACATGTTTTGTAATGATTTCTTCGACTTGGTGACAAGTTCAAAATCGACTGGATGAAGCTATCAGCTGACGGTTCCTAAGACTTCTTTGCCGTAGGTTAGAGTTACTCACTTGTTGGTTTAAGGTAACTGTATCATCCCCTCTGTTTTGCCAACAAGCGGTGCGTAATAAAGTTGGATGAGTAGCTTTCGGTATGGAAAACCTTTTATCTTCATTTTTATTTCGCTTCTCATGGTACTTTAGTACTTCAATGCTTCTTGGCTCTTGATAATAATGTTTGTATATATTTCTTATGAACTACTGGATGTTTGCTGTTTTGGGTGAAGGCATGATCGAGGAGTGTAGGATTTTTCTGTACACCTGAGTTTTAAAATTCGTGTAGTGATTTCTGGTTGGACGAACCTCTGAAAAAAGAATCTCACTGTTAGCTTTCTCCTCCTTTGTGCTTATCAGGTTGAGCTCGTTTTCTGTTTTACCCTTCTTGATTATCACGAACGTTTGTCAACTCATCGATTCCAGATTCTCTTTCATAGGTGAGTTGACTATTGATTTCAGCCACTAGATCACTATTTCATCAATGAATCCTGATATTGGTGATACCATAAGTGTTCTTTGTGTTTGTTTGTAAATTTTCCCAGTGAACTGTAAGTAGTTTGTATGACATATGTCAATCGACTATAACAGGTTTAGAGTGGTCAGTTTCGTCCAGTTTGAAAGACTTATTTCGCTCCCCAGAAACCCCCCTGCTTCTCTGAATATACCTAGGGCGATTGAAAAAAGAAGTGGAGTCACACCAAAGGACACCATTTCTTGGTCGCCATTTCACTTCAAATCTTTAATCTTGTCTGTAAATTCAGTTGATGAATTAACTGAGTGTTCATTTAACAGAAGAGGCAGCGAAGATGGGACGTCAAGTGAACGTAGAGAAGACAGGTGATGAAGATGTACAACCAACCAACCAACAACATCAAAAGCATAAATCACCACCAACAGGAGAAACCTGAAGGAAGTAGTCTCTTTCACGTATCTAGGCAGCACTGTCTCAACTACAGGTGGCACAGGCACGGACGAGGACGTCGAAGCCAGCCAGAATCGGAAAAGCAAGATAGGTGCTCATTAACCTGAAACTAGTGTGGAGATCTTCCTCATTGAGCATGTGAAACAAGATCCGGATTTTCAACACCAACGTGAAGTGAGTGCTTCTATGTAGTTCAGAAACTTAGCTTGTTACGAAAGGTATTCCTAACAAACTGCAGACATTCATCGACAACTACCTACACTGGCTCGTTACTGAAGCTCAGATGGCCAGAATAATTAGAATAAGCAACAAGGAACTCTGGCTGGCTAGCTGGCTGGCCGGCTAACAACGAACCAACCAACAACCCATCGCTCAACAAATATGCAGGAGGAAATGGAGATGGATTGGGCATACACTGAGAAGAGCATTCGGGGACATCACGTGTCAGGCCAGGTTGTCGAGTGGGACCCAGTTAAGAAACAACGAGTTGGGCGTCCGAGGAGAGGGTGACATGGAGGAGATCGTGTGAGGAAGAAATGAGAGCTTCTGGGCAGCCATGGAGTCAGGTTGAAAAGATTGTAGAGAAGAGAGTGGAATGGAGACATGCTACTGAATTCCCATGTTCGACTAGGAACCCAAGGGGCAAATAATAATAATAATAATAATAATAATAATAATAATCATTATTCCACTGACAAGTTGATTGATTTCTGTGCACAATTCTTTTGACAGACTAAATGAAGGTGTTACAGATAAAAAGACTACTGGATGTAGTCGAATATGTTTTCTTATGTGTCTCAAGTCGACCGTTAAACCCTTGCAGGAATAGTCCGTTTTTCCTCATGCACCATTACTGTTCTTTTGTGATTTGGTTGGATTTTGATAAGTTTCTCAATTTCCCTTAGATCTATTTTTCTAATTTTTTAAACGGATTCCGGTCCAGCAGTTGGTAAACACATTCGTCATTAAGTAGTCCTTACGCCTTTTAGATAGAGTCCGTTTTGCTTATGACAACGGTTTTTATTTCTTTATCTGATAACAATAATACAGTTGTCTTGTCGATCATTAGCAATTTCAGGGTGTTGTTTTGTTTCATGTTTTGTTAATTTTGATCTTTATTTTCATCAGTAGTACAACTGACTAATGTAGGTCGTATAGTTGCACAATAGTTGGATAAAACTCAACTCATCAAAGTTTAGATTTGCTAAGGATGTTGAACACAAGATATTCATTTTAAGTGTCTGGTAAAGTGGATAATCCTGATTTTGTTCATAATGTTCTCCCTATAATAAAGTTCAGTGACAACGGTATTGGAACTTTTAATGGGATTTTAAGACTAGTAGGAAATATGTTTGCGTAATAATTTCCACTAAGCATCCTGAATGAAAGTTTTGTCCATCATCCTCTTTTCCAACCATAAGGCAGGCAGTATTTCCTGGGTAACCAATATATATGGTGCTAGATGATTAGTCATTCGGCAGGAAGCGTCGGGTCTAAATTTCCCATTTGTTAAGACTTATAAACAAAGCATATTCGCAATCGTGAGGAGCAAGGTTCTTCCTTGGTTATTCGTAAATGCGTCACACAGTGATAGAGTAAGATTCTTAAGTATTAGGCTATTTAGGCCATGAATATAGGCGACTCAGTCCTGTACAGGCTCATTTATGAAGCATCAAAGGGTCGCCAGGCTCCTCATGGCTGCAGATGTGTTTTACTGATGATTGCTGACAGGCACGGAATCTGGGTCCAGGGTTTCCAACTGACAGACTCCCACCACATGACATCAAATCACTTGATCGACAG